TACAAGAATTATTAGGTTGGCAAGAAAGTCCTGCGACACTTTTTCAATTTTTGATTTTAATTCTATCTTTTTTGTTACAACTCTCCTGACCGGTCATATATCTATCATGAGTGTCCACCACTTGTCTTCAACGCTCAGAAAATTTCTTGATCCTCCTTCGCCAAAACCCAGCGGAGTGCGTCGAGAAAGGAGGCGACCTCACTTTCGAGTTGGAGTTGATCGTCTGATTATTTCGTTATAAAGATGATGATTAAAGGTCCAGGATAGGTAGCACTTATTTACAGCTCGACCAGGGGATTACGCTAAGAGAGGAAAGAAATCTTGCCGCAACTCCAGAATTTCTTACCGGGCTCATTTCGGATCATGGTGATTCGCAATGTCATGAAAGAAATGAATATTGTCGCGGTACGAGGGCTCTTGACGAGCTGCCTCGGCCAGCTTCTGGTATTCCACAGCCTAGGCCTCTACCTACACAATGGTGCCCATAACGAAGGATATGTAGTGGAGCCTCTGTAAGAGCCCTACCTGTAATATGGAGTGTAGGGACGGCTTGCTGGCTTCTTATAAAAATATGAAAGATCGGAAGCGCTGGTAAAGGTGAACACACGTTGTAGCGGTGAACGACATGCCTATTGAAGCTATTGCAGATAGTGTTGGTCTTTGACACGAATCCATAGTTATGTAGACATTTGTACTAGACAGTGACTCGGAGTGTGGATTTACTAGTGGTCGAGGTTTTTTGAATTTTCTTGGATAACTACTGACTGCAGCACTTATATCCACCTCGTGGATTGAAGCCTTGAGAATGCTCTACCATTTGGTAGTCATAAATGTTACCTATGAATTTTTCAGAAAAAAAGAAAATTTTAGAAAGAGTGTCGCAGGACTTTCTTGCCAACCTAATACTCTTGAATACAGGACATGCTTCTATCTTACTATGAGAATGCTACCAAGTACACTCCTTAAGATAAGGTTTTTGCGTGCGCTTATACACTGGTTTTCGCGATTCTGTGGCTAGGACCAAGACTAGTAGGAAGGTTGTGCGAAATAGTTCTATCAAAGCCTGGAAAATACGAAATTCAAAACTCGGATGAGAAATCACTCGCAAAGGGATCCAAGTCCCATTCCTCGCAAATAACTATGCACTGAAATGTGTAAGTAATGTCTTAGTTTGAGCCAGTTCATGTGGATTAATAAAAGAGACAAACAACAGCTTGACGCCAGCCGATAAACCCCTCGCTCGCATTCTACTTCCCTTTTTCTGGAGAGCTACTAACGAAAAAAAGAATCAGGAAAAACAGCAAAGACCATAAGAAATAATAGTGAAAATTGAGAGACGATAAAAAAAAATGATTGAGGAAGGTGTTCAAATAGATGAACTCGGCAATCTCCAACCACTGCCATGTGGCCCTAATTAAGCACTGATCGTTAGGCAGTGCTCGGCACTTGTAGCTTCTAACTTGCAAAACCGGAAACAGACCCGCTTAAAGGAGGATTTTCACGATTAGAATGGAGGTCGAGGAAGAAGTAATTCACCTAGTTGAGTAACCCACGGACCTCCTGAGGGTGCGAACTGATGCGCAATTCGCATCGAAAAATTTGACCTCGGCGACCTATTATGCCTCAAAGTTGGCGGGTCTGGCGATCTCCGCCCACCGACCAGCTGATCACTCGCCGCAGATCTATACGTGGGATTGATTAGATAGCAGAGAGAGCGTGATGTTGAGATACAGTCTCAGCCAACACATCGCCGCGCTACAGTAATACGCGACCATGCTCGACACAGGGTCAACCCTATCGTTGTTACTTTTCTGAAAAATTTTTACGACCCCCCTCCCCCAAGGTGGATTTGATACGACCCCCTTTTCCACACCTCGACCACCATCATTTAATTATTTATTATTTAATTCTGACGCGCGCTGAAACAGCGAATTTTTCTCCTCCGCCCCTCAACTCACCCAGCCTACCTACCCATAAAACTTCAGTTTCACCTCAAACTCACATGTGATTTCAAGCGACTGAAGCGGGTACGACCCCCCTCCTACAAACTCAACCAGGTACGACCCCCCGTTGTTACTAGTAACAACGTAGGGTTGACCCTGGCTCGACACGGCAGCTCCGAGGAGCTACACTTTTCAGCCACACTGCACTCCACTTTTCAGATTTGGACATCTTCGATCTGCCTATACCTATCGCGATTTTCGTAGTGATTTCTTGGATCTTCGTGTGCTCTGCGACCTTTTGCATTTGGGAACGTGACTGGGACTACTTCGTCGCGTTCTACTTCTTTTTCATTTCCCTAAGGCAAGTATTTCATAAGTTTCACCAGTTCTTGATCGATCATATGTGATAAATCGATACCGGTTCAGCACAATCGGGTTGGGCGACATCACACCGACACAGCCAAAATATCTACTCATGCTGTTTATCTACATCATCATCGGATTATCACTCGTTTCTATGTGTATTAATCTTATTCAGGTACAGTACCACTATGTTATTTCATAATGAGTCAAAGTGCACTAATTTCAAAGTTTTCAGGCAAAATTGGAGCGAACGTACGAAGCTGGTCGGATGCAGGAGTTGGAATTGGAGGCTGTAGGATTGCTCGCAGAGCCGAAACGGCCACAACGTCGGGGGAGCAGCTTGGGTACTGAACGCACTTTTCTAGAAATTGCGATTCATTTTCCTCAGGGGGTTAGACATGGCTACTTCGTGCAGGTAACCTAATAGGTAAATAGAGGTAACCTAATAGTGAGAGTCGGAGATCATTCAGATCGTGCGCCGACCGCTATTTCAAAACAGCTTTTTATTATGTGGGGGCTTACCTGGAACAGGAACTGTGGTTTGTTCTTCCTAAGCAGCTCTTCTGAATGCCAAAAAACGGGTTAAAAGTTTCACGCGCCACATCTCTTTGACATCCGCTTGTGGCAAAAAAAACCACTCGTTTAGCTTACTGATGAATTCCTTATGGATCATGGCCTCACTGCTAGCCGTGGGCATCATTTTGCGACACCAAGCAGGCGTCAATCGAAAATGCAAACTTTGTGCACCACGCGAGACATTGAATCCATAAAAGCAATCCTTCATTTACTTTTTGTCGTTCAGAAGGTCGCGCAAGAAAAACGCAACATCGTTTCATATTCCATGCACGTGTCCCTGTATATAATGCAGACTACAGTTTTGAAAAAGCTGGAGCGTCTGAAAGACCATCTTCATCGGAGAGACTCAAGGAGGTTGACGCGATTTGGTCAGGTCAAGCAAAAAGTGCTCTATATTTTCCTATTCCTATACAAGACACTTGGTCTCTTCCGGCCTCGTCATGGAAATACCAGTTGTTTCGGTCCTGTGGTTATTTTAGATGGCTGATTCCTTTCTTCTCCATAACACGGTGTCTTATTATGATGCTCCCTCATACATTGCTCCCATACATTGCACCCAATTATCGCCTTTAGGTATTTTCCGTTCGTCATCTTCTGGGATGTCGAGTAAGGAAGCTGTGCAAGCGGCGTTGGCTAATCGGAGGCGAATCAACAAGACTTGTCAGACAGTGCTTTCGTTCCCATCGCCCACTTGCTCCAACTCTCAAATTTGTCGCAGCGTTTCAAATTCCAAGTAGGTTTTACTACAAGGCATTACATTGGGCTTTTAGAGTGAAAGAATATCTTAATCTAGTTAGAAATCATGCTGAACCCTGTATAAGATCAATCCTACTTTTATAATTGAGCAATACAAATCAGACACTCAATACAGTTCTTATTTGTCTTTGTTCTTCTGCCTTCTTCTGCCTTCTGCCCGCTAGAGGAGATCAGGCGCTTGGTCGATTAGATCGTGAATTTCAACCTTGAACCGCGTTTAGGCCTCAGAAGACGACGATTTTGTCGAAACGTCAGGCCGATTGAATAAATGTTCCACCTATCAACCTCGAAAGGCAGAAGAAACAAAGACAAATAAGAACAAAGAATGCCGAGGTTACAAGAAGAGAGAAGCTGGAGACTACTGAATACAGTTACACTACACCCCGGTGCACAATAGATTGCACCCTATAAAAAACTTAGTTTTTGAGAGAGGCCGAAACTTTTATTGATTCTGCTGTTGATATATTTCCTGGGGAAGTAGATAAATAATGTTGACACAATATTCAGTTAGACACACTGTCTTTGAAAATTTTTAGAGTGAAATATTGATTTTTTTGGCGGTGCACAATAGATTGGACGATTTGAGATATTCCATTTTTCCGACTTTTTTTGCCTGCTTTTTAAGTTTGCATGTACTCACGATATTTATTCCTACTATATATAATCGGCTAAGCGGTTGTGCGTGTGTGTGTCTGTGTGTGTGTGTGTATGTGTTTGTCTGTCTGACCGGAAATTCATAGCTCGGGCACCAGTGGTCGTCAGGAGTTGGTTTCAAGATATGATATAGGGGGTGGGACGGGAACATATTTTGGTGGGGTACAGAAAGTGATAACAACTGATAAGGGCTGATAAAAGGCGCTAGAACGCAAGTGTCGCGAAATTCATAGTGCGCTTCGCAGCAGTCGTCAGGAGCTGATTTTGGGGCATGATATAGGGGGTGGGACGGGAACATATTTGGTGGGGTCACAAAGTGATAACGACTGATAAGAGCAGATAAGAGGCGCTGAAACACAAATTTCACGAAATTCATAGTGCGCTTCGCAGCAGTCGTCAGGAGCTGATTTTGGGACATGATATAGGGGGTGGGACGGGAACATATTTGGTGGGGTACAGAAAGTGATAACAACTGATAAGGGCTGATAAAAGGCGCTAGAACGCAAGTGTCGCGAAATTCATATAGTGCGCTTCGCAGCAGTCGTCAGGAGCTGATTTTGGGGCATGATATAGGGGGTGGGACGGGAACATATTTGGTGGGGGTCAAAAGTGATAACGACTGATGAGGACTGATAGTAACGATATGCGTACGAACGTAGAGAGCACTTGAAATAGAAAATAGAGAGCAGATTGTAGATAATGCCTTTCATTTCAATATCATTTCATCAGCGTTGTAATTGTAAACTCAAACACCTTTCGACCGCTACACCTTCTAGAGTTCTTGAGGATGAATGGGATGCTCGAATAAATATGATAATGAATACTGGGCATTCCGTTTTGAGATATTCGACCGCTAAATTACCTCGATACTCGACGCATAGTGGTTGTTTACATCATCACTTTAGCTGTGCACTTCACTGCGCTTATCAAACAGTGAGATACAGCCAAGATGGGCAGCCTATGCAACGGACAGTAATACATTTAACGAAGCAGCTATAATTTAGCGGTGAAACCTAAAGCTTCATCGATTGTCAGTTCTATCAATGCGCGCGGTAGCGGGCGGAGCTAAACTGGTCTGAAGTTATACGCGTTTCACAAACGAAGACTGGATTCGAAGTGAAGCGTAACTTCTTCTTGACAAGGGTGATCTCCAAATCTCTAAGGAACCCTTCATTCCCAGGAGTACAGTTGCAACTGTGATCAAGAATCATTCTCAAACTGTTCTTAAGAACAAGGTGGTACAGAAGTCAGTTGTTCCTGAGCGCGGCAGGCGCTGCTTGATTAATTTGGCATTGAGTTCCACAAAGGTTGCCTATGAATCGGTTGTCGCTTGCGGGATTGTCGTTTTGAAATGGACCGTGTCTCGTATGTTGAAAATATCGGACCACATAGTTCGACAAAAAATAAAGCCGACACTACGCCTGACTCAATATCGTCGACATGAGCGGCTCCCTCTTGCGAGGATTGAGAATAACAGAAATTGGGCAGCGGAGTGTTCTGGGCACACTTCCAGCTTTATACTAAATTTAAATTTCTCATTTCTATTTTCCCTACGGTAATTTCTTTCGATGACATTTTGGTCGGCGGAGATGAGTCGTGCTAACGGCACTCGAACTGGCGCTCTTGCAGAAGTGAACCACTACTGGTGCCTCGAAGCAACGCCGGTGCCTTCTCCTAAATGGTTTGCTGGGCATCCTCTAGTGATGGTAGCCTTGAGATTCATTTTGATTCTTGTGAATGAGAAGCCAGAACTATCAGTCACTCCTCAACAACACGTTGGTACCATTCGTTTCTTGAGACTTCAACAAACACTTCATCTTCGTGCAAAAGAACGCTTCAAACCACACTCCGTGAAGCACTCTGTCCCACTTTCAATCTAACAACAACCCATTATTTTCATCGCCGGTATGTAATTCTGATACAAAACCCTATCGGGAATACATAGGGTATACTGACGCGTAAGATGGGAAAGCGTATGACAATGTTCAGCCGCTAAGAAATACCATTACAAAGGAGTGGAAAACTCTACCGCCTCTGCTGCATAGAATGCGCTGATTCAAAATCTGATTTCAGTCCCAAGCTCACTGAGAAGAAGGAACGCTGCCCTCATACTTAGGTGGGAGGAGCAGACTTTAGGTCTTGTTTTATGAACCACAATACATATCGTCCAATCTATTATGCACCGCCTCAAAAAGTGAAAAATTGTTGTCACAAACTTTAAAAAAGTCGTAATGTCAAATAAGTATCACAGATATTATTCCTTCGTCTATTTCTAAACTATAGTATAGGCAGAAGCAACAAAAGTTTCCGGCTCTCAAGAAAATTAGGTTTTCTTATGGGGTGCAATCTATTGTGCACCGCGGTTATTTCTGAGAAGACTGTTCAGTTCAATAACTTGGGAACAGCAAATACGTTCGGAGAAATGCGTGCTAGACTTACAACTGGGATTTCACATTCATTTCTACAAAGAAGTCGTTGTTCGAAGGGCATATAGATAAAGTATCCAAAGTTAGATAGTCCTTCTCATGATGCGCCACGCATTCACTTGTAATGAGAGTAACAGAGGGCCTTTGAATGTGATTAGCCTACCCGATGATTGGCGGAAGCAATCGATTTACAATTCAGTGTATTTGTCCTATCGAAAAAGCCCGGTAATAACTAGCCGAACCAGGTGTAATGGAAATCATGATAGGCGTACTATAATCCGGGACTCAAGGTACGGTTCCTGGACGGCGCGCTTGATGACTGGTGCCATTTGCTGCTTCATCAGACCCACTCAAATGTCTCATTCTGCACAAACTAACAGAGCGTTCCACGGATGCTTCCCCCTCCCCATGAACAGCAGCGAACCCTCCTTCAGTTCGAGCACCATCATTGAACCACGACGTCATCTGCCATTAGCGTCAAGCTCAAGCTTCCTACCGTAATCGGTCCAGCGTAAAGCTGCTGCATATGTCTTCGATTAACTGATGGATAGCTTCCGAATATGCAACAACCTTTCCGATCAGCATTCCAGATCAGATGGGAAAGGGCCACGTTCCGTTGAAGACCTCGTTGAATTAAAAGCGTACACCATGTT